ACAAACAAAATGATCATGTTTACTTGCCAAAGAGGTCAGCTGAAAATGTGTACCTTCGGTTGGCCACCAGAACTGAAGCGCCGGCCATGGTGATTGTGTGGGCCACCATAATAGCCGATGGTCGCTCTCCGATCGTATTAATCGACCGTGGCATCAGAACAAATGCCGAATATTATAGCGAAAATATTCTGGAGGGTGTAAGCCTTGGGTACGCAAACATTTTGGCCGCAGACCTTGGACTTTCAATAGGACTCAGCACCATCGCATTCAGCAGGCGCCACCCAAGAATGATTACAAAACGAGGTTCATCTCATCATTTCCAGCGCACAATAGCCACAAAAATATCCGGACACGAATCTGTTGGACTATTGGGTCTGGAGTATTGTGGAAAGCAAGGTTAGCACCAAAAATACCAAAGTGTCGATCACCTCAACCAAAATAACGTTGAGCAACATTTGGACAGCGAGTGATGATTTCATTGGCCGTTTGAAGACCATAATTTGAGCCAAAGTGACCAATTGAAAACAAATCTAATCTTATTCTAAAATTTGATGCTATTTTCGACATTCAATAAAATTAAAAAAAGGTAAAAAATTATGTATATCCAAAACCGACTCTACCTCTCAACAACAGACACTAACAGTGACGTTCACATCAAATTTCTGGATTTCAACTCTATCCCTTTTTTCAATAATTAAGAACCATTTAGTACTTTACTAACTATTACAGTATGCATTTTCAAAACAATATCCATATCTCAACCTCAGATACAACCAGTGATCTTTATATCAAATTTTAGGTTTTCAGCTCTTCAATTTCCCCGATTACAAGATTTAGTAAGATTCGGTACAAATTGTTCTAAATATAGTACTATTTAGTTCATTTTCATGCACATTTCCACTTTATCACAAAACTACCACCAATAAGGTCGCCAATTAAAAATTTCAAAATTCCAGTTTTATCCCTTCACCCTAAACCAAACTGTTCAAAATTTGGTACCATTTCGGAGAGCTCACACACTTAGTAAACATTTCAAAAATACCTTCGTATATATATAACATACTTAATTCTCATATCGAATTTCTAGTTTTAGCTCTATCCATACACATAATACCAAATGGTGCCATTTCGGAAGTTTAAAAGTTTTCGTAACCTTATCCAAAAACCCTTTGGAACAACTATCCTGCACTCCATCAGAGTCTCTCATTTCAAATTTCAGAATTCCAGTGCCATCGGTTCACCCAAATCCAAATTGTACCAAATTTAGTTTATATAATTTCCAGAGCTTCGCACATACCCCAATACAGTAATCCCAATTTCAGGATTACAGCCCTATCGGTGCTATCATATTCAAATTGTATCAAATTTAGTACGTATAAGTACAAATTTCCAATAACACCACCATATTCCAATACCACAAAACGACAGTAATCTTATTTCCAAAATTCAGGCTACCAGCTCTATTGATTCATCCAAATCTAAAGTGTACCGAATATAGTACCACATAGTACAGATCAGTACGAATTTCCAAAACTTCCTACATACTCCAATCCTATACTCCCACAGTAATCCCAATTCCAAAGTTCAGCATTCCATTCTTATCGGTTCGCCTAAACACAAATTGTACCAAATTTAGTACCATTTAGTACACATAAGTACCAATTTCCATAAATACCTACATACCTCATACCTACAATGCAATAGTACTCTTATTTCCATATTTCCGGATTCCAACTCTATTGGTTCTCCCAAATCGAAATTGTACCAAATTTAGTACAATTTCTTACTTTTTGTGTACATAAGTATAATTTTGGGAAACTTATCTCAATTCTACACTTTGCCACTAATATAAATTTCAAATATAAGGATCCCAGCTCCATTCGTTTCTTCTAATTTAAATTGTACCATATTTAGTACCGTTTCGAAAACTTCCTCCATATATCAATCCTACACTCTGCCAGTAATGTTAATTTTAAATTTGAAGATTACAGCTCGATCCATTTAAATTTTACCAAATTTAGTACCGTTTAGTACTTTTCGTATACATGAGTACACACTTCGAAAACTACCTCTTAACATCGACTGTACTCCTCAACCTTGATTCCCATTCCAAATTTCAAGTTTAAGGCTCTAACCGTTCATGTGATACGAAAATGGTGCCAAATGTAGTACATTTTAGTACTTTTCGTACACTTATAGTAGGAATTTCCAAAAAAAAATCCTTAAGTACATCTATCATACGCTCCATCAGTGACCCTCATTCCAAATTTAAGAATTCTAACTCTACTGCTTCCCCAAATGCAAAGCGTAGCATATTTATTACGTTTTAATACTTTTCGTTCCGTTCTAGTAAGAATTTGCAAAAAAAACCAGCCTTTTCAGACCCCTTCGCAACAAGAGTGACTTTTATCGAAAGTTTCAAGATTCTAACTTCAGCCGTTTCGTCTGGGCGTTGATGAACAGTCATTTATTTCACTACTCCTTATTCAAATACAAAAATTAAAAGAAAAAAAAAAAAAACAAGTAACCAAAGGCTACGGTAGTGCGGGCTGACCATGTGATACCCTACAACACTACAATATTTTGAAGATTTCGCTTTTGAAATTATGTCACGGAGCACTGCCCAGATATTACCCTTAGCATTCTGAACAGGGACATTTGCCCAATATTTACGCACTCCGTCGTGCTGTTGGTTGTTGTGGTCCATTTTACAGCTAAATATAATCCAATGGTCGTACAAAATGTTAGAATTCTTCCCTGTCCTTAACTCTCTTCTGAGGCGTGTCGATTGGCTTCAATTGTGTGATCAGGAATTTTTTTCTGTTTTTGGCCGATTTCAACCCATAAATCTTTAAAAACAATAGGCATAGCTCTTCTGAGCCTATACCTACCCTTGTGAAAATTCTCGTGAGAATCGGACGATAATTGCAGGCTGTACATAATAACCCCAACCTGTGTTGTAAGTTGAAAATATTACAAAATGTACACTTCAATATTATAAGTCAAATTGAAAAAATCACATGCGATAAAAAAATATGAAAAAATTAAAAAAATTTCACAAAATACTACAAAATCTATATTAACATCATTATTCGCATCTTTTTATGCAATTTTTTTAGATTTAATTCTTTTATGCCAAGAGGGCATTCTGAATTGACAAAATTTGTAAAAACGGGAAAGCCATTTTTGAGATATATGCATTCTAGCTAACATCCTCTTCCTTTGTACTATCGGTGTCTACGTAACGGTCAGAAGCGACCTGTTCGTCTATTTGTGATTTCGCCGGGACTAAAAATATACGCGGTTTAATTGAGAATTTGTCTTTTATTTAACACAAAATGTTGTGGCCTATTTCACCCACTAAATATTACCCGATGACCATCAAAATTGGAAGGCTTCTGCCCAGCCCTAAGCTTTAGCCCCATGCTAACTTCCGCTTTGATTGGTCTATAATTGCGACCTGTAGAGCAACTGCAAAATTTGGGAATTTTTCAGTTTTCGGTCCTTTTCACCCCCTAAATATTATGCGATCATCTCTGACCTATTCTGACCCTAGCCACACCTCCATTCTAAATTTCGTGAAGATCGAACCATAATTGCGACCTGTAGAGTGATTACAAATTAACACGGACAGACGGACGGACGGACACACATAGCTAGATCGACTCAGCTCGGCGAGCTAGGAAGATCCATATATACTTTCCTATGTGGGAAACCAATATTTCGTGGTGTTACATGATTTTTGGCCCAATCAAACTTATAATACGTCCCAACACGTAGTGTTGCAGGGTACAAAAATGCAAAAAAAAAAAATAGAAATTGATTTTTATACCCTCCACCATTCTATGGAGGGTATATTAACTTTGTCATTCCGTTTATAACTCCTCGTTATACTCAACAGAGTTTATATATTCTTGATCAGCATAGAATTCTAAGTCGATTTAGTCATGTCCGTCTGTCTGTCTGTTTTAATCACGCTATCTTTCGAACGAATTGAGATAGAAGGCTAAAATTTTGCATACATGCGCAGTTTACCAGTAGGCAGGTTAAGTTCGTAAATGGGCCATGTCGGTCCAATTTTCTAAATATCGATATTTTCACGATATTCGGAATTGTTTCAAATTTGGTAGTTGAAATTGGTTATGGGTACTACAGCCTATGATAAACATTTTTATATGCAGGTCCACGTTTTCCTATAGTCCTTATATACCGGTACCTCCCGATAGTGGGTATTTTGACGATTTCAGTAAAGTTATTCGCCGGAATTATTTCAAATTTCGTACTAGAAGTTCCTAATGGGTTCTACAGCCTATGACAAACATTTTTGTATGCAGGTCCAAGTCTTCGTATAGCCCCCATATGACGATACATCAAGATATTGGGAATCAAGATACACCGGAATTGTTTCAAATTTCGTACTGGAAGATCTTAATGGGTACTACAACTTAAGACAGAATATTTGTCCGTGCAGGTCCACGTCTTCGGTACCGCCCGATATTCCGTATTTTCATGATTTTTGCGGAATTATTCACCGTAATTGTAACAGATTTCGTATTTGAAGTTCGTAATGGGCACTACAGCCTATGACAAAAAATTTCGTATACAGGTCCACGTCTTCCCCATATAACGGTTTTCATTTAAGTGGTAGTTTTCGGATTTTTTTTTTTTTTTGAAAATTTTCAATTTCTTTTGAAATGGTGGAGGGTATTAAAAGTTTGGTTCGGCCGAACTTAGCTTCTTTTTTACTTGTTAGTATTTTCTATTATCCTTTTTTAATATTTTTTTAAAAAAGATCTGAAATCGAATTTGATTCACTGTCTTTCTTTACAAAAAATCATTTTTAGAAATGCAACTGAACGCTGTCTGTGATAAAATCCAACATGGAATAGTTGTAGTTCCATTTATACTTGTCCGTTTCGTATTTCCATTTTTATTATTATTGCTGTTGTAGTTGTACTCGTAGTTGTAATTGTAATGGTATTAGTGTCTTTGGTACTTACTTGATATGAATGAAAGCACAAGAATCATATCTAATGCCACTTGAAACCACTTCATCTCATTTCCCCTTTTGTGAGTTTTGTATGGTGCCTCCTTGTAAATGCAAAACAAAAGATCAAGTTGAACTTGTTGTTGTAGTTGTTGTTCTTGTTGTCGTTGGTGAGGGGGGGCTGTATGTTAGTCGTTGTTGCTGTGGGTGATGTTGTTGCTGCTGGTGATGACGTCGTTGCCGTTTGTTTGAAATCTTACGAGTTTGAGAGAATGCTAATGAGTCGCGAGGGGTTGCTTGAACACCTCCTTTGGTTGACTGTGGTGATGGTTGGTAGGTTTTTGATGATGGCCGCTAGAGTCCTGTTTTTCACTAATCCTTAAGTCTAGAGAAAAAAAATTCGTTTGATTTATTTTATTTTATTTTTTTTTTTTGGTGACGAAAGATGCAGAGTCTAGAAGAGATAGAGTTTTTTTGTTGATAGTTTCTTAGAGTTTTTCTTTTATTGTTGCTGTTGTTGTTAGTTTAGTTGTTGTCCAATCAGATCAGAGAGTTGGAGAGTAGAGTATTTAGTAGTTTTTTGCTGTTGCTGTTGACAAAAATCAGATGAAAGCCTTTTCATAAAAAATATTTGCCACCAACAATAGCTGTCATTTCAGTCTCATACACTGGAGATCACGACGTTTGCTTGGTTTGCGGGCACCCCTGCCGCCAGGATAATTATGCAAAAATCCGTTAACAATTCAGTTCGTTTCCTTGACAGTTTTTTTTGGGCGATTTTTTTTTCCAGTTGGCAATTAGGGCCGTTTGTCTTGCCAGCTTAAGCTTTTGTCGGGACTTTCCGTTCCTTTGGAGTATTTTTTTCGTTTCGTTTTGTTAAGCCCCCAAATGATGGACGATGGAAATTTCTTTTTGGTTGGCAAAAAAGGCAAATGGTAGCAGAGTCGGGTGAGAGAGAGAGACGAGAGAGTGTGGAAATGTGTGCGTAACTAACTATGGTGATTTGTGTTGTTTTATTTGTTGTTGTTGTTGTTGATTTATTCCTGGAAGAATGAAGACGAACGCCTTAACGTCGTTGGTATGCGTTTTGCTATCTGAAGCTAAAATACAGCGGCGTATTACGGCAACAACAAATGCGGCTACATTTAAGCCAGGCCTTTAAGATGCAGTGCTGTTTCCTGGCCCCCTGCTGTTGTTGCGTTTGTTGTGGAACTCTTCGTAGTTGGTAAGCGGCAGTTTTTGTTCGAAATGCTAATGGTGCCGCAAGGGATTGTGGTGCCTCACTTCCGTCACGGGCTGTATCCAAGGCCCCGCTGGCACCCTTCTTTGAGTAACTCTCTACTACTGCGGCTGAGACTGTTGCACCAGCCCCAAGTTGTGCTGTTGCGGTAGTCGGCGTCGTCGTCGTCGTCGCTCTTATTGTATGATGTCCTCGTGTTGCACAAACATTCGTGGATTCATTCATTGGTAGTTTCTTGAGAAGGTCTCCGGCTGCGGTGGCTGCTATCTGCTACGTCTTGACTTAATCAAAGAACAAACGAACGAACGAGCGAACGTAAAACCAGTAGAGAAAATGAAATGAAATGAAATGAAATGGAAAATTGCTCCAAGGGTCGTCGAAGTCGTCGTCGTTGTTATACGTTCGTCGTTGTTATACGTTCAGCTCGTTGGCGTTGTCTTTGTTACACGGGACCTTGGTGTGGAGCATTTTCCGAGCCAGTATGCGATAATAATGGACCATTTACTCAACATTTCATGGTGATGGCAAAACTGCCAAGGGGTAGAAGTGGGGTGGAGGGGTGGTAAACGATAATCCGAAATTGATTGATTACCACTTGCCGCTGGCTATGGCTATCTTTCAATTCAATTGTTACGTTTTCAACTTGATCAGCTTACGGACTTGCAATTATAATCATTTTCGCCCAAAAAAGAATTGAGGTTATGGTTTTTGTTTATTTTTTTGTTTTTTTTTTTTCTTTTTGAGGGGGAGTCTTTATTTTCGTTTCGGTTGCAGTTCGAGTTGCAGTTGCTGTTATTTTTATTTATTTATTACTATTATTGGTGGTGGCAGCTTTTTGTTGTTGTTGTTACTTCTGTAGTTGCAGTTATTGTTTTTGTTTTTTGTTCTCTTCTTTTTATTATTTCAAATTGAAAATTATATTTATTTTGTTTTTGTTTTTTTTTCTGTTTTTGTTATTTCGTTACAATGGCAGTTATTGGTTATAAATAAATATTTATTGGTAGCTGTTACAGTATCATGTTCTGCTTCTTGTACTTCTTTTTCCACATACTTATTTCATGCGGGGCATATATGAATGTGTATAGATATTTTTTTAGCTTTCCTCTTTTCACAGAAGTTCTATTTTTTTCTTATATTATTATTGGGTATTAAGTTCGTGTTCCTCCTCGTTTTTTTCCTTGTCGGTTCTCTACTCTCTACTTAAATTTAAACCTGTAACGGAAAAAAGAAAGAAAAACACATAATAAATATTAATTGAAAAAAGATTTTTATATTCTTATATAAGAAATAAACCAGTAAAGAAAGTCCTATAGTCGGGCGGGGGCGACTTTATGATACCCTACACCACTTTGCTAATTTAGTAGAGCTCCACATAACAGTTAAAAGATTTTATTGGAGAATTCAATCATACACGCTATGATTGTAATTATAATTTAAAGTTCAAAGGACTAAATATACCGAAGCATTTGTATCTTTTAAATTCGGACTTGTATTGCCCATTTGGTCCAAAATTAATTTAAAAACAGATAAAGATATATATGGGAGCTATATATAAATCTGAACCGATCTCGATAAAATTTGGCAAAGATTTTTCTGAGCTGTATTTGATATATTTGCCTGAATATCGTTGTTACGGAGTGCATATTACGGCTGCGGAGGACAAAAATGACAAATCGGATGAACAATATATATGGGAGCTATAGCTATATCTGAACCGATCTTCACCATATTTGGCATACTTGCTTCTAGACTTAATTCTGTCGATGGTGCCAAATTCCATCCCATTTGGGCAAATATTAGACGTTTGCTGTACAATAAAAAGGTAAATCGGACGAAGTTATATATGGGAGCTATATCCAAATCTGAACCGATTTCGATCAAATTTGGCATACTTATTTTCAGGCCTAATTTGGTTGTATGTGCAAAATGCCACACTATTCGGGCTGATGTAACACGTTTGGTGCAAATCGGACGAAGATATATATGGGGGCTATATCTACATTTTTACCGATTATCTTCGTCCTTGGGCCAAACAAATGTTGTTTGGAAAATTTCATTTCAATCGGATAATAAATGCGACTTGCGTTTTGTTCAAAAGAATGCATGGACAGACGGACGGACGGACAGTGGGACTGACATGCATAAATCAAGTCAGAAAGTGATTCTATGGAGATCCTCAAAAGTAACTATGGGTCTATCTCGCTTCCTTCTCCATGTTACAAACAAATGCACAAAGACATAATACTCATAGTACCGATTTCGAACTTCAAATAACAAACTTTAAACAATTCTGGTGAATAATGTCTCTAATATCATTAAAAATACCGAATACAGGGAGGTACTGTTGTAAGGGGGCTATACTAAGACCTGGACCTGCATAGACAATTTTCCGTCGTAGAATGTAGTACCCATTACGAACTACAAATATGAAATTTGACGCAATTCCGGTGAATAATGTTGCGAAAATCCTAGAAATACCAAATATCTCGGGAAAGCTTTTTATATGATTACTATGCTAAAACGTAGACCTATTTAGACAATTCTCTTCCAAGGGAGAAGAAGAGAAATTCTTGTGTGGATTTTCAGACTATTCCATTGAAAAATGTGGTTAAAATCATCAAAAATACCGAATATCGGGAGGTGCAGTTGTATGGGGGATATACGAGATCGTGGACCTATATAGAAAATTCCTATTCAGGAGGTAAAGTACTCACAGGGAACTTCTTTATATGGTTGATATACTAAATCGTAGACTTATATAGACAATTCTCTACCAGGAGGTAAAGTACTCAGAGAGAAATTCGTGTATGGAGTTTCAGACTATTCCATTGGAAAATGTGGCTAAAATCATCAAAATACCGAATATCGGGAGGTACCAATGCATGGGGCTATACGATATCTTGGACCTATATAGAAAATTACTTTTCAGGAGGTAAAGTACTCACAGGGAACTTTTTGTGTAAAATTTCAGACAATTCCATTAAAAAATGCGGCTAAATTCATCAATATACCGAATGTTGGGAGGTGAAGTTATATGGGGGATATACGAGATCGTAGGCGTTTATAGATTTTTCTTCAGTGATCGAAGTAGTTATGAAGAAATCCTTGTGTAAAATTTCATACAATTCCATTGAAAAATGTGGTTTGAATCTTCAAAATACCGAATAACGGGAGGAACAGTTATATAGAGGATATACGAGAGCGTAGACCTATATAGACAATTATTTTTCAGGGGTTAAAGTAGTTACAAATAACTCCTTGTGTAGAATTTCAGATAATTCCATTCAAAATGTGGTTAGGATCTTCAAAATGCCCAATATCGGGGGGTACCGTTATATGGGGGCTATACGATATCGTGGACCTATATAGATAGTTCTTTTCCAAGGGATAAAGTACTCACAAGGTACTCCTTGTGTGGAATTTCAGACAATTCCATTGAAAAATGTGCCTAAAATCATCAAAAAATCGAAATACGCGGGGGGGGGGGGGGGGGGTCTGTTATATGGTGGCCATTCGATATCGTGGACCGATATAGCCCATCTTCGAACTTGACCTGCCTACACACAAAAGACTGATGTGTGCAAAATTTTAGTTTCCTATCTTAATTCCTTTTGTCTCTAACGTGATTACAACAGACGGATGGACGGACAGGGCTAAATCGTCTTAGTCTTATAATTTTAAGATGATCTGGAATATATATGTGTTGCTGGGTCTAAAATTAATATTTCGATGAGTCACAAACGGAATGGCGAACTTAATATACCCTCCATACTATGTATGGTGGAGGGTATAAAAAGAGAAAAAACTGCAATAGTAAGTACTGTAAAAATATTGCAATTGCTTATTAAGGATGTAGAGGAACATACAACTCAATACATACATAGATGTATACACAGAGAGCATCTCTCTCACATCTGATACTTCACTACTCCACATATTGTCAGCTTATGAAAATATTATTTTTAATATCAATCATGCGCTACAGTTTTCATTACAATCGGATTATTTTTAGAGTGGGGGAGGGGAAGAAATTCTGAAACTATTATTCTTTGTATGAATTATGAAGGAACATTTTTTAGATTTTTTTAATAGATATTTATTTATTTATTTTTTTTTTTTAAATGCTTTGCGTAATTTTCAGAAAATTCATAAGAAAAGTATGGTACCATGGAACGTATAATTCATAATAATTTATTATGTTACATGCATCATACGCCCCATGTGTTATTGTTTACTTGTTTAAATTATCGAATCATAATGCTATGTTCTCATTACACTTTCCATCACGTTGTTCGCTCTCAGAATTAGGTACACAAATTAACCCGTTCATACGGCACGATTCGTAACTCATAGTAAAATAATTCCTTTTTTCAAAAATTTAGTTTGTTGATTTTAATGGGAATTTATACAAAAATACATGAAACTCTCACTAATATGAATAGAAGAAATTATTGTTTTTCTTCCGAAGAATAATTATATCATTAAATTTACAATTTTCATTCACGTTTTCAACTTTTTGTGTAAATGTTGACATTTTGAACATATTTTTGTATTTTTCTATTTTTAAATTCTGCTGAAGAGACACTTGTGAAACATTTTTTCTACCGATGCAAACATTTTGAAAATATTGCCTCTTTTTTTTCTAGTTTTCTGTGGAAATTTCAACTCGTGGATAAAATGGGTACCTCGAATGAGAGAAAAAACAAAATATAATTTCGTTTGAATGTACATACGCCATTCAACATTGTAGTTTTCATTCATAATTTTCAGTCTTCCCAAAAATTTTTAAAATTTCATCAAATTTTTTCTAGTTTTAATTTTTAAATGTCATAATTTTTTATTTTTTTTTTGTTGTGCTGAGAGTAATTTGATTTGAAGAATGTACAAATATCAGTGTTCGATCGGGAAATTTTGTGTGGAGAATTAAGTAGTTGTTTCATAGTTAAGGGTCAAACAACGGATAGAGAGCGAATCAAGTGTAGTGGAAACGCCACATAAGGTGAGTTGAGCAGAAGAAATATTATAATTAGTTTCTTCTCTTTCGAGACGAATTTTATGATCTGAAATTTGACTGAATAGAATATCCAGAGAGGCACTACACACATTGAAAACTATGCGACGTGTGCTGCTGTAGGAAGACGGGATGATGGCTTTTAAGGTTGAGATGGCAACTTCAGGTAGATGGGGTCCGCGATTTAAATTCCAGCCAGACTCAACCAAAATTTTTTTAATTTTTCAAAAATTTAAATTTTAGACATTGATGTTAGATATATTATTAATTGATGTATTTTTAAATAAAATTAAATTTAATTAATTTAAATAAATTTCAGTTCAGTTCACTTTATATGATAAATTTTTATATTTTTCAAAATCTTGAACCCTATGTGCACCAGGTAGCAAAAAAAAAAATGGTCCGATCTCTACCATCTTTATAACAGATCTTGTGTTGATGGAAATATTAAGATATACCATGTCTGGAATGGAATCGGATGTTGATTTCGTTTTTATGAACTTCATGGATGTTCAAAATTTTGAGCGTTTGTGGGGGAGGTACCAGAAGGAGTGGACCGATATATTCCGTCTCACTACCAAATCTTGGGTCCATAAAAATAGTAGGATGTGTGTGGATGAACACATTCAGATTCATATTTTTAAGAGTTATAATCATTCAAAATTTTGACCGTTTGTGGAAGAGGCACTTGATGGAGTGGACCAACATTACACATTTTGGCAACCGACATAGAACTGACGCAAATATTACGATTTGCAAAATTAGATTATTGCTTCCCTTTCTGTGCAGAAAATATATAATTTTGAAAATTTCGACCATTTGTGGGGGAGTACCTGAAGGAGTGGACCTATATTGCCCGTCTTAGCACCAGACCTTGGGTTAATATAAATATTGGGATGTGTGAAATTTGAAGACAATCGGACTCTTACATCACATTTTATGAGAGTTGTAATTATTCAAAATTTTGACCATTTGTGGAGGAGGTACTTCATGTAGTGGACCTACATTGTCTATTTTCACACCTGACCTAGCAATAACGCAAATATTAGGATTTGCAACGTTGGAGCAAAATCGGATTATCCTTACTCTTTCTGTGCAAAAAAAAAAAAAATATTTTTTTTTTGCAAAATTTGATCTTTTGTGAGGTAGATACCAGAGGGAGTGGACGGATTTTTCCCATCTTCAAACCAGA